TTTAAAATTCTCAAGTGCTGCAGTACTGGGACTGGATATCATATCCACCCTCCTAATCTGGCTGAAGTGAGACATAATTATGAAATGTGACTACCATTTAATAATAGTTTCTTTCATGCAAGGATCATAAGTGAATTAATCCTACCAGTATTGAAGTGAATTGGGCAAGGATCGTTTCCCTCAGTGCTGGGGGAATGCAGCAGCTGCTCTGTGGTGCCCCGTGCCCAGCAGAGCTGTGTGGACATGCAGGACCAGCACCAGTCCCGACATCCCTGGCAGCAAGGCAGGAAAGCATCTCAAAAAGCCCAAGCACAACTCTAGTTGATCTGGACCCTGGCCAGTGCCAGCCCCTCTAAAGATTGCACTATTCCGGGGTGGGTTTTGCTCTGTGGTGAGCACAGGAAAGGTCCGAGACTGGCCCAATGCCCAAGATGCTGAACAGCAGCATCATGAGTGCTGCCTGCCTCTGTTTCCCACAGCTTTAATGGGGCAATAACAGAGCTGGCAAGGCTTGAAGGGAGGGGAGGGGCAGGAGAGCAAAGCTGCCACAGCACTTTGGAAAGAGAAAACTTGGCGTAAGTGCCACATCATCGCTTTCAGGGACTCTTTGTGACCACAGGCAGCAGAGATGGTGTGATTGTGTCGCACCTGAGACGCGGCTTCGCCATCCCCTGCTTCAGCACCACGTCCAGCCTGGCCTCGGGGACAGCTCGGGGAAAGTGCTGCTGACCCACGTCCCGAGGTCACTTCCGACAGAGCCCTCTCCTGCCGCAGGAGCCTTCCCGTGGGAGCCAGGCTTGGCACCAGAGCCGGCCCGGGGTGCCAGGGGCTGCCGGCAGGCAGGACATGGTTAAGGGAACGGCCACATCTCTCATGACTCCTCTGGCTGCTCGCCAGGGAGCCATGTGACTCCTTGGTTAAAAGAGTCCTCTCAACCATGAGACACTTTTTTTCCCCCCTCTGGTTGTACCTTTTCTTTTCTGAAGCTAAAAGAAAACAAAACGTACCCACAAAACTTTCCACATTAAAGTTACATTGTAGTCGGATGACTCAGGGTGAGAAATTCAAGGGGAATGAAGAGGAAGGGGAACATTCCTGAATCAGACCTGTTGTGCTGAGCCTTAAGGAAGAGGAGGATTTTGCTGGTTGGAGAAGAGCACTGCTGTACAGCACAGTGAGCAAGGAGCAAAGGATGGGGCTTAAATCTCTTCCCTGCTGCTCTGGACTACTGCTAAATTCGTCAGGATAGCGTCAAACCCAGTGGACTTTGACGCTATCAAGAAGGCTGAGGGTGGGAGTGCAAATAAATATGGTGTCATCTGATTCACAGTAAATTCCTTTTTCTCCACTCCCATGGCCTAAAGGGTACATCAACCAGCTTTACAGTTTTGGTTGGTTTTGGTTGGTTTTTTTTTTTTTTTTTGGGCACCTCTTACCACAGTATCTGAGCACTGCCCATAATAATTAGATTGGCACATCCCTAGTAAGCTTCCTGGAGTCTTTTGTTCCTCTGCTTTCTCTGTCTCTGGGGAGCTCTGCCCAGCATAGGTGCTTCTGAGGGGAGGGATGGGGTCAGGTTATTGTTGTTAATGTCACTCTGGTTATGGTGTAAAAGATGTATCAAAGAGGAAGTTCTTGCACTGTGACCTAAAGGTCATCAGACTCTGGATTAGGCTAATCTCTGAAAGTTGGTTCCCCAGACAGATCCTTTCAACCGAGAGTAACTTACCTCTAGGCACAGAGCTTTGTCTGGGGTTTTATGATCTTCCTTGTTCCAGAGAAGCTCAACTGTCCTGGCAGAGGCAGAGGTTTGGTCTGGCTTGTCTTGCTGGGCCCTGATCCATTAATTGCTGTGTGGAGGTCAGGCTTCACCCTTGACCTGGGGAAGAAGGAGAGCAGGGAAGAGAGAAGGACCTGCCTGCAGAGGTGACGTGCACAGCACAACCTCAGCCCAATGTGTGCCGGGCACTGGGATGTCAGTCTGCTGTTCTCATGGGCAGAGCACTTTGCAAGATGTAAAGCCTCTGTCTCACTTCGACCTTATCCTCTTTTTGGAGAAAAAGGGCAAAACATTCTGAAAATTGCCAGTCAAGCAATTTTCCAGGCTCGTCCATCTGTTTGGGACTCTTGCAGGCTGCACTGAGTGGCTGGAGAGCAGCAAGTTCGGGGATGTGCACGAAGCAGTAACACAGAATGCAAGCTGTGCAGAGGGTGTGGGGTGCTGGACAGGACTCAGCAATAACAGCTTGCTCCTTGCTTTGGAACCTCCAAACACAGACATGCTTCTGAGCAGAACCTCAGCACCCTCCTGGTGTAAATACTCACTTGGAAGGAATGCACCCGAGAGGAGCATGTGTGCCTGGCCCTCCGTGCTCCTCTGCTGTCCCCACCCCAGCTGCACAGCGCGTGAAGCCAATTCCCCAGCAACAAGACTTGGCAGGTGGCACCTGATGAGATAATTGTGCCCCTGGGACATTAGGAGGCATGAGGTGCAGCCAGGTGCTCCTGATCTGTCCATGGGTGTGATTTCTGTGGTAACCACACCCTCAAGTGTTGCCTTACTGCAATTAGGAAATTTGTTCAGTTTGGGTCAAGTACTTCTGTTAGGGTGCTCTTCACATCTAACATGTGTTGGCATGGCAGGAGCATGTGGATGTCCAGGGTCAGGCAGTGGCCTCGGCTGAGTGGTATTCCTCCAGCCAACAGGGAAGAAGTCCTACTTCCCAGCACCTTGATCTCTGCTTATTGCCAAATCTGGACCTTCCCTTCCTGCAAACCCACTGATCTGAACATTAACTCAGGTGTAAATAATGAAATCGCTCCCTTAGATGAGATGCTCCATTTTGGCTGTCACAGATGAGGAACCTTTTAGCAGCTTGCCACTTTTGCTTCCTGGGACTTCTATTTTGCAAGAAGTGCTTTAAAAACTTACACATAAGAGGGCTATGCTGCAGGAGAGATCACATGACAGTTCCTTTCTGTAGGTTGAAGATTCCTTGCTGTCACAGGCTGCCCTGCACTGCAGCCTTGCTGTCAGTGTGGAAGGTGGTGTTAAATCAGTCTGTTAGTGAAAAATGCCAGTCAGATATTCACCCCTTCTTATGAAAGACTTGGTGCAACAAGGTCCAGCAGACAATGAGGTGCCCTGGCTGTCATGGAGGTGAATAGGAAAGGGGGGCCTCGAGTAAATTGCAGAGTTTGTTCCCCATTACTTTCCTTGGGCACAGCTCTCATGGCTTGCCATGTTTGCTGCACTGCTGTAAAAGGCATGAAATGAAACAGCCCAGAAGGGGCTTGAGGTTCTGCCAAAATCTTGCTGTGACTTTGGGGAAGCCTTTCCTGCCTGTGTGCAGGAAAATTCTTCCAGCGTTGCCTGCCGGACCTGCAAGCGGGGCAAGATCCCTCTGTGCCTTCACACAGGCAAGCACGTGCAAAGCTTGTGCCATTTGCCCTTCTCACAGCCAGCCCAGGTGCTGCCCAAAGTTCCACTTTAAACTTTGGCTCCACCCTAACATTGCCTGAATAACTGCAGGATTTAGCTCACAATATTTTGTTAGGGGAGTGCTGTTTATTAGAAAGAAGGAATGATGTATTCTACCTCTCCAAAAATGAAAACCCCTTTCAGCACTGACAAAAGCCCTGCTTTTCTTCATATTGCCCAAATAGGACTTTTTGATGTGTATCAGATCTTTGCTTACGTGGTAGTTGCCATTGTATACCTAACTAGAAATCAGCTTTAGCTTTCTGACAATAGCTGGCACAGATTAGGTTCACTCTAAGACATCTTGTGAGATAATTAAAGTGATGACTGATAACATAGCACAGCAAAAGGAATGTTTCTTGAAGCAGAGCTGCTCTACAGGTTGCTTGTGTGCACTTTGTTAAGTGCAGCCCAGGCACAATTACCCTGACTTTGATGAATTCCCAGAAATCAATCTGGCATCTTATTTTTTGAGAATAAATCCTGAAATTCTCTCAGTTTCTGTCTCCTTCTTAAATTAAATGCATGTACACGAATATGCCGCTTACGAAGGGTGCCTGAATCACAGCCCTGGAAAATGAATTCCTCTCCTTGCCCACAAAACCAGCAGAGCACAGGCAGAGGGTGTGTGAGCTTCCCCACTCCACCCCATCCCTGTGTCTCATCCATGACCTAGAGGGGCAACCTCTAGCTAGGCAGAAGCGGGTGGCTCAGTCTCTGTACTTATTTAATCCTTGGCCAACCTGCCAGGGCTGCCAAAGAGGGTGCCAATTGTGGTGGTGGTTTCTGTGATGTGGATAGTCGTCCACTGGGAACTGGATTAAGACCATCAGCTCATTTCAAATACTCTAGGCCACAAAGCATCTGCCAAATGGTAACCATTTTTTTGGTCACTACTGACTTGGGTCATGTTTGGACCAGCGATGAAAGGCTCTGTATCCCAATACCAACCCCCTGAGCCATACGGTTTCCCGGAATAATTTTTTTTTAAGAAGGGAAACATTATTTTTTGTCCTAGATTCTACTTTGATCAGCTGATTTTTAATGTGCACATTGGTACTTTAAGGTGCATAATTTTCATTACTTGATTGTAGAGGGCTCAGAGGCTGGGAAGGATTTTGGAAGATGGCAGGTGGCAGACCCATGTGGTGTGGTCCAAAATGAGCTCTTAGAGATAGTGGTTACACACTCTGGCACCCCAGTGGGCTCCATATTTAGACCTAAAATTGATCTTACACCTTCAGATTTATCCCATAGTCCCTCAGGAGGGAAACTGCCATTAAAATTGAAGATCATATTCTCCTTTGCTCTTGTTCTTTTGGCAATACCTGGTGATCTGTGTCCGATCTGTGGCATCAGCCACCTTTGCTGGCAGCTCTTCCAGTAGCTGTTCATGTTGTCAGTGGTGTCTGTCAAACCCACCACAAACTTCTGTGCATGCCCAAGGTGCTGGGAGGTGACAGCAGCACCCCAAGGTGCCACCAAGGTGCTGGGAGGTGACATTTCTCAGCTGCTGCAGAACTGCAGGAGGCAGAGACTAAATCCTTTTCCTAAAATCCCACAGCCCAGCAGGGCAGGGAAGTGGAGGATACCGAGGGTGAGCAGCACACTGTCAGCCTGCTGAAGGAACACCTTTCTGGCCCTTCCAGGTGATGGGCAGCCATGCAATATTGCCACCAGCTCTCTCCTGAGCTGAAGCAATTCAGAGGTGACTGGATTTGTCTTTCCTGGGAGTGATTTGCATTTAGCACAAAGGCTCTACTTGGATTGCATTAGTTCCTCAGAACAGGGAGTCACCTGCCTCCTCCTTCCCCATTGCACATGGAAGTGACACATGCTGGGACACTGAAGGAGTGACTGTTATAATGACAGAAAATTCTCAGCTAATCCATTTCAGCTATGGATATTCAGAGCAAGAGATGGAGGAAAAAATGATGGCACTGATTGACGGTATTGTGAGTCTGGGGTAGGATCTGCTTTCTCTCACACAGACATGTCAGAGGCATCTTACCAGTAGATATCTCACAGTAGTTTATTGGCCTTGGACTGTGAAATATATATTTCAGATTACCTTTTATTTTGTTTAAAATAAGAAAAAAAATTATTTTATTCAATGTATCCTTCTGCTGTGAATAGTTTCTGTCAAAAAAAATAGAAGAAAATAGAGAAAGTAGGGAAGAAATTGTGTTTAAAAGATTATATGTAGTCATATAGATGTGCACAGAAATAGTGATTTTTTTTTTTAAATAAGTGTGTGTCTACAAAGCTCTTTTGAGTTTTTCTGCTTATTTGGATCCCTTTATGTAAGTTTCTTTTTCCAGAGTAGAAACTTCCCTTTCAATAGCAGCTGAGGCTTAAATTCAAGAGAACACATGGAGAACTGGAAGCATACAGGCTTGTAGTTACATGCATATATTTAAGCAGATCACATCCCACATGTAGAAAACACAGGACATACAAAATGCCCAGCATCCTTGTGTGTTCCCTGGGTACAAAGGAATTCCAATTCATGCTTAACTTTCCCAAACCAAGCTCTAAATTTGGGTGACAGCTCTCAATTTTACTTTTTCACTTCCAAAAACCCACGAAAAGTGAGCTGGAAATGTACAGTGTCAGAGAAATCTCAGTCTGAGACACGTGAGTTTATGTAAGTCAGTCAGGTTTTTCCTTTCAGCCTTTGGCTGTGTGTGAAGACCAAGGCTCAGGTCCCAGGAGCTTTCAGGAGAGAGGTGATGAGGAGCGATGGGTGGCAAGGCAGTGACAACCAGGGAAGGGCCCGTGTGTTCCCCAGGGAGAAGGGAATGCAGAGAAGGGGGGAGTGGAAAAGCCCATTGGGAAGGTGAGGAGGGAAGGATCCTGACAACTGCAAGGAAGAAGGTGAAAAGTCATGGAAGCCTGGAAAAGAGGGAGAATGAAACAGGCTTTAGGATGGTTCCACAGACGGAGGCAGCTCTCGGGAGGTTCAGCATTGACCTGCATCGCAGTTCAACCTGTCCTGTTGGTCCAAGCCATGGCCCCATCACTTGGTCAGAAGCTTAATGACCTGAGAGCAGCTTCTTTGGCACTCAGCATGAGGTCAGAGCCTGGAGAGCAGCATCCCCTGGAGCCAGGAGACGAGTGCAGTGTCAGGAAGAGCGATCAGAAGCAGAGCTGCCCAGGGAACTGTGCTGTGCCCAGACACAGCCACACGCTGCGGGCCCGGTGTGTGCCCAGGCAGGGTGTGACTGCCCATCCCTGGCTGGGGAGAGGCACCACAAAGCACAGAGCACAGCTCACAGCTGGCTGGCTTCAGCAGAGGGTGATCCCCTCTTTGAGGGGGTGCGGGAGAGGGAATGTAAAGGAGGTAAGAGACAAAGCGCAGTTTACATCAGTACTGAGAATCTGGCTTTGGAAGAAGATTTTCTGCATGGCTGCTCCACATAAATTGTGCTTAGCTCTACAGTTGCAGGATTTTGAGGTCTCTGATGAGGCTCTTGAATTGTCCTAAGGGAAATTTTGCTATTTAGGATCCCAACATGCCACCATCCCCAAAACAGAAAGCCTTAGGTGGGCGCAAAGTTTAGAGATTCAGAAATAGTGTAATACTAATGATCTGAAGGGACATGGATTAAAGGCTGTCTTTACAGGATTTAATTTGTGACTATGGGGTAAAAGTGCTGTTTGGCCCGAGAGTCCACAACCAGAGTGTGCAGTGGCAATCCATAATATTGCAATTCATTGGTGACAGCCAGTGCTGTGTAACACTGTGTGTGAAGCTGAGCTCAGACAGTCACTGCTGAGGGTATGCTCAGCTTTTCCTTCCTCTAGAGCATGAATTCATTTCAAAAGCCAAGCTTTCAGGGGGTATAGCATTGTTTGTGTGCAGCCAAACCATGCAGGATTTTCTTCCCAAATTAAATTCAGCTCTTTTCTTGCCATCTTTAGAACTAACTCTTTTCAATATTTCAGCTGACTGAGATCCAGTTTTAAAAATATATATAGGAGCCTTTGCTTGGCACAGAATAGAAACCCTGGCTTTTATAGCATCCATACACTACCAGAGTCTAGTTTATTATTTGTAGAGTATTTCTGGGATATATCTTTCTTTATATAAAAGTAAGCCCAGTACCACGCATATCTCACATCTCTCCTTGTTTTCTTCATGGACACAAATACATATAAAGGTTTTATAAGGTACAGAAGGACTTCAGAGAACATACTTTATGAGTGGTTTGGGGATCTTCTTTTGAGCTTTGCTTAGAGTTGTCTTTCCAAAATTGCACAGTTTTGGTCGGGATTGGTGCCTCATACACAGATCTGTGATTTCAGTGTATCCAAGCCTGATTTCTCAGGGTTTCACTCAGCAGTTTTCACTAAGGACCTGTACGTGTAGACCTGAGACCAAGCAAAGGTTAACATAAACTGGCTACTGTATCTCATGTTTCTCAGGACCTCAGATAAGCTCCTGGAGATGAACAGAGCAAGGCTGGCATCTGACGTGAGCTCTCTTATCAAACTAATCTCGGTGTAGCTGTGCCAGTTTCAGTCTCTTGTCATACAAACTTTTTCTCCCTCTCCTCTATTCCCTCCAGTATTTTTTCCAAGATAAAATGATTAAGGAAGGAAAGAATTGATAGATAAACACATGAAACTGAGAGGAGGCTCAGAAACCACCTATGATTCCCATTGGTGGATTCTAGTATTTGGAATAAACTATAAGTCTCACGCTTTCCCTGAGATGTGAATCCCAAATTGTACCTCCCAGGGACCAGGAAGCACTTGGCAAACACCTGGAGCTAGCTCACATGTTCAGCAGCACATGCAGGCACACACGTGCAGTTGCCCATGCAGGAGAGCAAATGCTGGCTCCAGTGCTTCCAAGCTGAGAACACATATCTGGGCAAACATAGGTTATTATAACTCTGGACAGCAAACCACAAAGGCATTCAAAGAATCACCACCACAACATTTTGCAGAATATTATTACAACTGTCACTAGCAGTTCTGTCAGAAATCTGGAAATTGCAAAGGACAAAAATTTAACTACTGAGGAGCAGGGAATTCTCAAAAAACGTCCGTCGGTGTGCTGGCACCTTTGGCCAGACAGGAAAGTGCTGGGCTGTGCTGCTAAAGGTCCTGAGGAGTAATGGGGGAAAGAAATGTCAGAATGACACTTGTGTAACCCTGAGCGATACTCACCTCTTGTGTACCCCTCTTTCTTTAAGATCCTAATGCAGCCTCGTTAGTGCTGTCATGTCTGTGTTGCACCACCTCTGCGGCTGGACTGGCTTCAAGGACTAACTTGGACACTTCAAAATCTCCAATCTCATTAAAGCTGTGACTTTGGAAACAAGTTTGAGTTTTATGGGGGAGAAAATAAATGGAGCTCTGCTCATCTGGCCTTTACCTGCACTGGCAAAACGTGCCACAGCAATATTGCAGTGAAGTTATATCTTTGAAGCCACACAAGATATCTGGTTGGGCATGACCTCTTGTGCTGTTTAAAAACTTCTTTTGTGCATTTATATGTTCTGATATAAAAAATATGGCATTTTGTGTTGCAGCATGAATCCTTTCCTTGTGCTTCCTTAATGCAAGAGGAGGTCAGAGGAGAAGTAGAGATGTGGACACAAGGATCTGAAAGTTCTGGAGCTTGGGCAGCTTCCACAGGAAGCGGTTTTGGTGGCTTGAGCCCTTAGACAGGAGGTGGAGTAGGGCTGTTATGCAAAGGTGCAGAACTTGAATTCCTTCCATAAGTCCCATATCAGCAATGGCTCTGAGGAACCTTCTCCCTGCTGCATCCTTTTCAGATGCTATTTCATCCCAAAGTGATCCATAAGCAAATCTCCTAAAAGCTCCTGGTCACATTGTCAGGAGTGAAATGAGCAGGCACACTAATTGCCATTCCAGAGATTTCGGGAAAAGCAAGATCTGTGACACGAGCTGGGCAGCTCACGTTGCTGGGAGCTGAGGCTCCAGGCTCCTGGCAGGCTGAGGGGAGCAGTGAGCTCCCAGGGGTCTGTGTGTGGAAGGGCTGAGGAGCTCGTTCTGGAGCCGCGGGATGGGAGCGGGGCTGCGGCTCTGGCAGCGAGTGGGGACATGTTGGTGCAGCTGGCCCCGGTTCTGTCTGTGGGAGAGCCTGCCAGCCTGGGTGCACAGTGCTGCTGGGTGTGTGTGAGCTGCTGGCAGCAAAGCCTTGTTGCCTCTGTCATCATGTATTCCAGGGATGGCTTTCTTGGAGCCCCACACGTGGCGCAAGGAGACCCTGTGGGTGCTCCTGTGTGCTGGGATGGATTGCAGCCAGTGATGCCCAGAGGTACCTGCCTTCACTTTTCTCCTGGGATGCCCTGTACAGAAAAAGGGGTTATCCTGGAAATACCTGAGAGTTATGTAACATTATTTTTACTGCTGGTCACACCCACCTCCCTCTGAAGCCAGATGTCTTCAATCCTGACAGCTCAGGGTCTTGTCTGTAATACAGCACTGGCACTGTGGAGGTGTGAAAGTGTCCAGTTGTGCAAAATCCTTTTGGTTGGCACTGCCCTGATGACTTGGAACTTGATGTAGATCTGGAAACCAAAGTTCAACATCAGTTTGACAGGACAAGAGGTCCTCAAGCCATGCCAAGGGAGGTTCAGGTTGGACATCAGGAAGAATTTCTTCACAGAAGGGGTTGTCAAGCATCAGAAGGGGCTGTCCAGGAAGGTGGTGGAGTCTCCACCCCTGGAGGTGTCCAAGGAAGGACTGGACATGTCACTCAGTGTTCTGGGCTGGGGGACAAGGTGGGGATCGGGCACAGGGTGGACTTGATGACCTGGGAGGTCTTTTCCAACCTAAAGGAATCTGTGAGCACGTCCTCCCACTTTTGTCCCAGAGCTGGATGAGATATTTTGTTATCTAGTGGAGTTATTTGCAAGCAGGAGAAAATGCAATTGTATTTCTCCAAATGTGAAAAGCCTCCTAAGCTACAGACCATGGGGCAAATGAGAATGTGTTGAACCAGGGGCACTTCTTAGGCAACCTCAGGCCACCACCTACATGAAAGTGTGGATTGCCCCAGAGTCAGTGTGATCCTATAAGGCCTAGAAATGCACAGAAGACAATTTCTAGCTCCTCAGGGACACAGCATAAATGACTTGGGAGACACTATGCATGAAGCCTGTCAGTCACCCAAGGCTGGCTGTCCTTCCTGACGTAGGAGGTGCCACTTCTGGGGAAATATGTTTACGTATGTGCTAGTGGTTTCCTAACTGCTGCTTGGCTTTGGGGCTTCAGAAGTGGCTCCAGCAAGCCTGGGCTAATGTGCTGAGAGCAGGAGAGGTGCAGGATCAGTAAGGCAGAGGGTTTCCACAGGTCACCAGCTGATATCCCCACAGGCTGAGGGACACCAGTGTCTGTGCTGAGCACAGCACTCTCCTGTGCTGGGTTCCAGCCTAGCTCGGCTCAGCAGGAGGCTACCTGGTGTTTTGTGGCCTAATTTCATCCAAATGCTCGAGTCTGGGAGTATCCCACTGGCTTTGCTTTGAGCTCAGTGGGAGTGTACTCATGTTTAAAACCTTCCAGACACATTTTTGAGCATGTCCAAAGCCTGTGTGCTCCATGGGGTGAGTACTGAAGGGCTGAGTGCCACCAGCAGCCACTGGTGACGTGTGTGCTTTGGTCACAGCCTGCTCCCCTGGGTGGGCAGTTGCTTCACCAGACTGTTTTCAGTTACATTTTTTTCCTGCCCAGGGATGTTTAGTTTGTCCCTTTGCTCTGAGACCTTTGCTTGGAGAATTTGTGTTGCTTTTTCAGAGCTGCTTTTAATGCAGAAGCTCAGACCTCTCTGGGGAATCTGCCTGACACCATCAAAGCTGAGAGGGGCAAAACAGGGAACATGTGAGTGTGTAACATCACGTAATGTCCAAAGGAGGTATGAATGAGCTCTTTAGGAAGTCAGACTGTTCTATGCTGGACATTTTCTTTGGAAAATCTGGGTGCTGGATGGATTTCATTATCTGCCTCTGATGCCATCCCTAGCACTGACAAAATGTTACTGAAGGTAAGAGCATTCCTTTGCTCTTGTGTGTGCTTTTGCCTGTACATCCAGCCAAAGATACACACATTCCCTGGCTGTGCATACAGCCTGGCTCCCTTCCTCGTGCCTCTTCTCACAGAGGTGCCCCCCAGCCACCCTGTACACAGAGGTGTGGTGTGACCCAGTACTCTTGGTCTCCTCCAGCTCTGCTCCAGGGATGGCCACTCCAACCCCAGCACTGTCCTGTCCCATTCACTGCCATTCTAACATCTGCTATGTATTTATTTTAAGCTGGGCTCTGCAGCTGCCCACACAAACTACCTTCTAGCAGTGTCAGTCACCAGCACCTCTGGGGCTCATCAACCACTGCCCATGCCCTGGTCCAGCAGGGAAGGAAAGGAGAAAAGCTGTGCACAGGACAGGAACATTAGGACAACAGTCATGAGTGCAGGTACCAACCCTGGTTTCCTGTTACACTTATTGCCAGTGAGAACAGTAATATCTCTGGAATCCCCAGAGACTTGTAGACTTAAATGGACTTTGGCTCAGGTCATCTTTGTTTGATACAACCATTTGCTTTAATGGTGTGAGTCAAATTACTCCAGTTCCCTCCCAGTTCGAGACACAGCTGATGGAAGGGGAGTGTGTAGAGGTTGCAGTGGGAGGGAGGAGGAGGGAATAGTCTCCCTTGAATGCAAATAAATGCTACCGCTTCTGCTAATTGCATAAAAATGAAAAGCTTAGCCATAAATGGGAGTGCAAGTCTGAGATGACTTGACAGCCCTGTTATTCAAATGCAGAATGCTGCATGGAGCAGATAGAGAGGAGCTTAGGGTTGGAAAAGGCTCTTATCTTCACTTGTGAAACACCGTGTATGACAAGTCATCCTCAGCCTAGGAAAGGAAGATTAGTGCACCCCACTAGCATTGAAAGGCATGGACACCAGAGACTGTGGAGCCACAGGGACCCTGATCTGTGGAGAACTGGCACCTCAGTCTGGTCACAGCTCAGACCCCTTTTCCATGGAACATCCAAACCCCACCTGTCTGTCATGTCCTCAGGAACATGTAAAGTACTCTTTTTGCTATGAATACTGTCTTCCCAGTGCAATTAATCTAGTGGGAAGGCTCCTGCTGCTCTCACTCAGCTTTGGATCCAGCCCAGGAGGGGCTGATAAGGCACGGGGAGCGTTCCCGTGTGGCCCTGGAGCACAGCAGATATTGCTGCTCGTGTTTGGCAGCTCCTGCTAAAGCCAGGGCATACCAGAGTGGCTCCTCAGAGATGACTCGCTGTGCAGTGGCAGAAAATTGGCCTCAGTGTTAAAAATCCAGAGTTGTTTTCCAAGTCAACTGGAATACATATTTGTGTGTCAGATTTTTCCTTTGAAAAGTTCGCTCTGCGGAAACCACAATTGCCCCACGATTAGAGGTGAACAAAGAGAGGCACAAAGAGCCGTGAAAGGCAGCGACGTGTTGCAATCCATCTGAATGTTTATCTGCAGCAACACGCAGAGGTGGATTAATGCAACCAAATGTAGGCAATGAGGAGAGGTTCCCAAGTGAGGAGTCTGGTCTCCGTGGGTGCCTCCTGGAGTTAATGGAGACATGGGTAGGTCCATGGGTAATTCAATCCACCTCTGTCCTGAATCATCCTGGGAGGTGGCTGGCTCTTTCCTTGACGGTAGAGGGAACCTGGGGCACATGGTTGCCTCCCTCAGGCACATCTGGCAGCACTGAACAGCACAGGAAACAGGGGCCAGGGAAGAAGTCTATCAGGGTATTCTATGATTCTGTGAAAAATCTTTGTTTAATTCCCATCAAAATCATTTAGGCCTAGCCTGGCTGCCTGAGTGCTGAGATGCAAGAGTTAGAAGAGAGCAACTGGGATACCAAAGAGGCAGAGGACCAAACTCTGCTCTGTGCCTGTGATCCCATCACACACAAGGAACCCAAGCAGTATCAGGGAAAATGCAGGAATGTCAGTCTCTGTGCTGCATGGATTTTTGGGTGGCTGACCTGGAGCTATAAAAGCCCCTCATAAATTGAAATAGTGTGGAGGTGCTGCAGCAGTAACATCCTTCTTCAGGCTGCTGGACTAAGAAGGGTAACAACATTGGTAGATAGCAACAGTTCCTTGAAAGTGGGATAGGGAATCAAACCCTGAGCTGGAAGGGACCACAAGGATCATCCAGTCCAACCCCTGGCCCTGCACAGACACCCCAACAATCCCACCCTGTCCCTGGGAATGTTGTCCAAACCCTCCTGGAGCTCTGGCAGCCTTGGGGCTGTGCCCACTGCCCTGGGGAGCCTGAGCAGTGCCAACCACTCTCTGGGGGAAGAACCTTTCCCTGAGATCCAACCTGACCCTCCCTGGCACAGGGGAGACTTACACCAACCCACTGCTGTTCCTGAGGCAAAACAGCTTCTCAGCCTTTGTTTTGGGCTATGAAGGTACAGGTGAGAGGGGAGCAGAGCAAAGATGTTTTCTGAAACAGGGAAGGGGTTCGGCAGCAGTTTGGGGAGAGGTAACACAATCTCTGGAGCTGCCAGTGTGTGCTCAGGACTTCCAGGCAGTGAGGGTGAGTCACAGGGAGGGACAGGGAGAGAGAAAGAGAAACGAGCTCAAATCTGGGAAGGTAGAGAGTGTGGGCGGAAGGCAATTACCACCAGAGAGCAAAGGGCTGCTGAGTGAGTCAATCGAATCCTATAGATACCAACACTTATCATAAATACCGAAGAGGTTTTAGGAACTGCTAATTCTCAGAAAGTCATAAATGAGAACTGTTTCCTGTGGTCAGAAGGAGCAGAGAAGGCAACGTGAGTGGAGGAGCAGGAGATATGAGGCCTGTGAGTGCAGGGGCAGGGGTATTGCGGGGATGACATAATGGAACCCGGATCAGCAGCAATTCTGTGGCATGGGCAGCAGGAGCAGATGATTAGCCTTTCCAGAAAGATGCTGTGTTGTTTTTCCCGGTAATATCTTATTAAATGGGTGCTAGAATGCATGAACAATACAAGAAAAACCCTTCTTATTCTAGTGGCTTTTCTTTCCATAACTCAGTAACTACTGCCCATAAAGCATTGCAAGATACTTTTTTTTTAAAGAGCTACTTCATCTCGGTGTTATGTGTCTTGCTTGCTTTGGTTTTCAGGTGGCACTGAATGTGAGGCTTGCAATCTGTGCAGAAATATTTTTCCATCTGAAAGTTTCTTTTTTGGGAGCTCAGTCAAAGCAGAGAGATCACTGCTGACTGCTTTTAATTCCCAACATTATCTCTTACAAGGGTTGGCCCTGTGGGGGTGCAGTACCCTGTCAATGCTTCATTTATCTTCTTTCTTCAGCAAATGCACTGAAGGGTGAAGGAAATGATAAGCGTTATAACTATCTTCTTACTCAGCTCTTGGATTTTAGTAACAAAAGAAACCTTGTGAAATAAAAAAGGTAGAAGTGCATCTTTGAAGGTAAGGCAGCAAAATAATGTCTAGGATAATGCAGTTTTCTCTGACCCTTTTAAAATGTTATAAAGCCCAAACTTTGGGCATTCCCAACATT